ACGTAGTATATATATACGTAGTACTAAATATTCGTATCCATGATTTTGTATTCATCCTAATTCTAACACCCCAAAATCCGGTCTAGCTGAAAATTATAATAAAATGATAATAATGGATAGATTTTTGTTTCTAGACATTTTTAAGTTAATATTTAAAATGATAATACGTAAATGCTAGGGAATTAATGGTTAAATGGGCCGCAAGTTTAAACAAATTAAAAATTTGTCTTACAATTATAATGAAAAATAGTTGTGTTAATAATGCAAAGGGTAAAAAAAACGTGCAGTGGCTATATAGCAAGTTAAAGATTAGAAATCAAGCCCTAATGATCAATTAAAAAGAAAAATGGTCGATAAGTGAATACACGTATATATGCAAGAGTTAGCTTAATTTGGACATTTGGCTTTAATGTATAGGAACTTAGTAAGACCAAGCTAGAGAACAAACTCATAAAACACCAGGCAAAGATGCAGGCTAGCTAGGACACTCGTCCAAGTATTTAAAACAAGACAAAACAAAAAAATAGACATTAATATTAAGAAGATTGGGCTGGCTACCTCTTGTGACGCTGAGCAACAACAACAAAGTTCAGATTATATTTGACACTAAGCATAAGTTTTACGTATCAAACAAAAAATGTATACGAATATTTAGTACTACGTATATATATACTACGTATATATACTACGTATATATATATACATGACTATATGTTTAATTTAGTGATGATGCTTTGTGATTATCATATTTTCCAATAATACATGGATTCATGAAATATTTTGGAAAAGAGCCTTACTCCGCGATTTAGATGCTAGTTATAAGTACCTCTATTTTGTTCTGTTTTGGGTACGAGTTGGTTTCACCGACTACGACTCTTCTGGTGTGCTAGCATACGGCCCAGGCCAGGGTCCTCTGAATCTGAAATCTCTGTTCCGTTATCTGATTATCCTTGTGATCTGAGGATCTCTGTTATCTGATGGGTAAAGTGACTAGAACTTTGTTCGAAATTACTTTTTCTGTATCCTTAGCTAGATTCTGATCCTAAGAGTAAAGGCTAAAATTAAAGTACTAAAGAATTAGGTATTTAGAAAGTTGGATGATGTCTATGAATTTGAATAAGATTTATGTGTGATTATTTTCCTTAAAGGATATATGTTCGGTTTACTGCTATGTGCAACTAAACTAAATCACCTTAATCTGATTGAAAAGATGGAAAATTTCTGAAATGATCTGTTTTAAAGAAGCGTTGAGTGAGATTATATGAAATCTGTATACGTATTTTTGAATATGAAATTTTGACAATTTTCTCATGATTTATTTCTAATTAAGTGATAAATTTATAATTATATTATGTGAAATAATAGTGTTAGCTAAATTTGATTTCTATTATGATAATGTGTGATATGCATGTTTCACTTCCGTTTTAATTGTGTAAATGGACTATAATGATATTAATGCTTCTTTGACATATATTTGAGTACCAAATAAAGATACATGATTATTACATGTTACTACCTCCGTTCTCTTTTAGTTGCAACATTAGACTTTTTGCACTGTTCACATATTCTACTTTGACTATATTTTATTAATTAATGTATTATAAATTAATTTTTTAAAAAATATTGTTAAATTCTTCTCATTCTAAATTTTCAAAATATGAATTTTTTAATTTTTTTACTGATAAGGAATGAGAGATATTAATGGTCAAATCTATGCATTGGCAAACGTGAAATGTTGACTGTTGCAATTAATATGGAACGGAGGGAGTATGTTATAGTACCACTCAGCAATTCATTGCTGAGCGTGTAGTTTTTCTACACGTGGGTGAATAAGAGATTCAAGTTGTAGCTTGGGATGATGAGACATCTGGAGAGGATGGCAATGCATTTGTTTTTATTTCCATGTTTTAAGTTGGTACAACCAACAATTCTTAAAAATAAAATTTATATTATTTTGTTTTCAAAGTTTTATTATTCATACCTCAAATTAAGTTTTCGTGTGACATGTTTGTCAATAAAGCGATAACGATTACATTTTCTTAAATGATTTTCTAATTTAGTTGGAAAGTTTTGCTAAATGATAAACGACAGTGACATCTGTCCCGAACCGGTCAGACCGGGCGGGGTGGGTGTTACCCATGGTCACCTTGTCCACAACAAACTTCATTTGCTCGGTTGGAAGGTATATATATTCTTCTACCTCACTGGAACGCAAGCAAGGTCGATTGTCAATATGTGTGTTATAATGTTTTGGCTAATGTGAAGAATATCCTCAAGTCTGCAAGCAAACACAATAATAATTTTTTTGAGGACAGATATGATAACTTTCCCCAACTCTCATATCAGTTTGGTATTGATCTGCGCTACTCTATGTAGTTTTGCTTCATCTAAGAATATGGTCTTAAGCTCATCCACGGACTCGATTTGCAGTCTACCCTCCTCACCTTTAGGACTGATGTTGAGATAGTGTGGATTTTGATGTCCTGAGCAGTTCTCTTTTATTAATTTCATATAACATGAGCTGGCAATCTTTAGGCTCCCTCGGGTAGGGCTGTTAACGAACCGAGCTTTTATCGAACTATTCGAGTTCGAGCTCGGTTTCGAACCTAACGAGCCGAGCTTAACGAGCTTTCGAACTCGAACCCGAGCTGAGTTTTAAGTTCGAAATATTAATCGAGCCGAGCTCGAACATAGTAGTATTAGGCTCGGTTCGAACTCGAGCCTATCGAACACCCTGAAATTATAAATATAATTTATATATAATAAAAATTTAAATATAATTAGTATGATTTTAAGCATTTAGATATGTTTATTAACGAACCGAATACTTGTCGAATCATTCGAGCACGAGCCTATTAACGAGCATCACCTAAAATTTTAAAATCGACCATATTTATCGAGCTTAACGAGCGCTCGGTTCGAACATCGAACGCCTATCGAGCCGAACCTCTGTTCTAAAAGTCGTCCTAGGCGTCCGACTAGTCCCCGCCTAGGCGCTAGGCGGTGGCCGGGCGCCCCGATTTTCGTCTAGGCGTTCCGACTAATTGGTTTGCCGTCTAGGTGAATTAGTCGGCCGCCTATGGCACCTAGTTGCCCGCCTAGAGCGCCTAATCGGCCGCCTAGGCCGTCTAGATTCGCCGAACATTACTTTACTTTTTAATTTTAATTTACTAAGCGATATACGTGCTTTAGCTTTAGCCGTGTATATAAAGAAATGAAGTTGTAAATTAAGATAAAACTATATATGTTTATATATATATACCTACATTTAATCATTATTTATATCTATAACATAATGAAGTTAAGTGATTATTTATCATATACTACATATGATTAAATGTGATAATTCTACCATTCATGTTTGTTAATGTATATGTATATATGAATTTTATATACACAAAAATACAATATTACTTATCATATTTATGCAAAAATATAGATAAAAATGCAATTTCTTTATCTCCGATTAGTCCCCGCCTAGGCGCCCGCCTAGCCGCCTAGGCGCTAGGCACTGGGCTGGCGCCCGACTAGCGCCTAGCGCCTTTTAGAACATTGAGCCGAACACGAGCCTCATATGTAAAGCTCGCCGAGCTTCGAGCTCGAACCCGAACACCATTAATTCCTTATCGAGCCGAACTCGAGCTTTAGGTGTTCGGGCTCGGCTCGGCTCGTTAACACCCCTACCCTCGGGTATAGACGACTCCAGTTACTATTGCGAATTTCAAGCATGGATGCTTCATGGAAATTTGAGCCTCCAAATATCCCCAAAATGTAACACCGTCCCCAAATATATTTACTTTTATGTAAATAATGTATTGAACCTTATTAAAGGATTAATGAATTTACGAAGTTGTAAATTTTTATTATTTCTTTCGCGTGAAATAGAAAATTGCACGTGGGACCCACACCGGGAGTGGGGGCCGCCCGACATTCCCGAGACCATATATTTTATTCATCTTGGTCTAGATAATAAATATACAGTGGTGGATATTTCATCTGGGCCATGGGAAGGCCCAGAGTTGACCGATCGATCAATAGAAGCCCAAATTACCGGTACTGGTAATTTAACTGATAACAGCCCGAACTAAATTTCGGAGGCTTATAAATTAAAGTTGGGGAATGTATATTCATTATACATGTCATAATGAGTAAGGGCACATAATATATTTTATTTGACCCGATAAAATAAAATATATTTAAAACAGTCCGAAAAATACAACTTTCGGGACCGATTGTACACACCGGGACACAAAGGGATGACCTCCCACATGAGTGGGGGCCACCCCACGTTTTTTGTGGGCTGTGAGAGGAGGGAAGGCTGGCTGATTGGAGAGGAGGGGTGTGGGAGTGGTTGACTTGAGGGGATTGGCATCAAAAGGACACATGGGGGGTCCTTGCCATGTTATCATGGTGGAATAAGCCAAAAGTTGGCATTTCCTCTCACCTCCACCCTCATTTTCGGCCAAGACTCATCAAGAGGAGAGGGAACCCCCTGCAAAATACATCCTCCATATCCAAGAACAAAGCCCAAGCAATAGGAGTCCAAGGGGGGAAGACTATAGAAGGAAAAAGCTAGGAAAAGGTGTGAAAACTAAGGTAAGAACCTTATCATAACTTTTTCTTTATTTTTCTCCTACCATATGAGATATATATCATGTGAAGGATCCTTAAGAGGGTTCTACATGTTATAAGTATGGATTAATGGGTTGGAAAGTGATTCCATATCCAAGAACGGACTTAGAAGCCAAAACGACCGGTTCACCGGAAAATAACCTTTTTGAGGTTATTTGTATTAATATGGGTTTTATGATTATAAAACCTTGTTAGGAACTTGTGAAAGGTATTTCAAGTGATTTCACAAAGTTGGAAAAGTCGCCGGAGTTGTCGCCGGAGTTGACCGAAAGTCGCCGGAGTTTCACCGGAGTTCAACCAAGAGGGGTAGAACTTCATACGCTAGCTCAAGGTGAGTGGACGGCTTAATATCTTATAACTTTTGGGTTAATTATGAGATTACCTAAATAAATGTTATATGAGTTCATAATGATGTTTAAAAGATATTTAAACATGTGATTAGCCAATAGGGTTAAGTTTGTATGAAAGAAATTAATTGTTGATGCATGGAATATGATATGAAGAATTATATGAAATGCATATTTGCTTGAAGTGTATTAGAAGCACAAATGAATATTATTAACTTAATTATATGATGATTAAGTTGATACACACAAGGCATGAAATGGCGGTCAACGAAAACGTGGACCGAAGAACAAAGGATTTAATTAATACCGGTTGGTATTAATTAAATATAAATCTATATAAATGCATGGTTTTGCATGGATTGTGATACATAAGAATTTATGTATTGGATTAGTTATGAGTAACTAAGTATGATATAGACTCTATCTAGGTTGATAGGAGGTTGATAATAGGAAAACTTGGTGGAGGACCCTAGTACTTAAAAAGTACTTAACACTCAAACTTGGTGGAGGACCCTAGTACTTAAAAAGTACTTAACACTCAAACTTGGTGGAGGACCCTAGTACTTAAAAAGTACTTAACACTCAAAACTTGGTGGAGGACCCTAGTACTTAAAAAGTACTTAACACTCAAAACTTGGTGGAGGACCCTAGTACTTAAAAAGTACTTAACACTCAAAACTTGGTGGAGGACCCTAGTACTTAAAAAGTACTTAACACTCAAAACTTGGTGGAGGACCCTAGTACTTAAAAAGTACTTGACACTCAAACTTGGTGGAGGACCCTAGTACTTAAAAGTACTTAACACTCAAAACTTGGTGGAGGACCCTAGGACTTATGAGGCCTTAACACTCACAAACCGGTGGAGTATCCAAGGATTATGATCCTAAAACTCATAGATTATGATATACAAATAGGGACAAGGAGGAATCCTATACACTCATAGGTATATGGGTGGGTTGGGGTTTTTAGTCAAGAATATTGACTATTACTATTTTTCCCAAATAAAATGGTGATCTACGGATCGGATATTTTCCAAGTATATATGTATATACTAATAAGTATTTCATAACTTGGGGGAAAGACTATTTATTTAAGTATCACCCTATGTTTGGGTCTTATACTTGAAACGCTAGTTATTCTATATTTAGCCTGCTACTCACTCGGTACTTGTACTGACCCCTTCGGGGGGGGCCACCATTTTCAGGTTGAAGCTAGGGCTTGCTACTTGCACCTTCTCACGGGTGATATCATATCGGGAAGACGTGGTTCGTGCTTCCTTATTTTCTTTCAAACTACCAAACACTTGCTCATGGATATTTGTTTTACTATAAACTATTTTTGGGGCTTGCATGCCCATGTTGTTGGCCGGTTGTGCCTCATGACTTACCGTTGAATATTTCCGCTATTCATTGGTTTAAATGTGATGTTGTTATGTATGTTTACTACTGAGCATGGATGGATTGTTTTCTCGAACGCCTTGTGTAACTAAGTGAGGTTGACTCGTGGGTGACATCACTTAGTTATACGGCGGTTGTACACGCGCTTGGATTGCGGTCTGGGGCGTGACACAAAATCATATTATGTGTACACTTGAGCCAGACCAAAATGAACTCCACCAGGAGTCTGCCTCGATTAGAGTCATCTCCAACTAACTTCAATGAGAAGTTCTATATATAGTGCTCTCTGCATATATAGAATTTCTTGTGAACCTAGAGTGACATCCTAAAAGGCCGCTTAAGTAGTTGCAATCCAGCGCCAACTTTTTACTGATTTTCTCATACATGATGTTGATAGACGGGCCAATACCAATCTTAGTGGATGGTTACATCATTGACTTCACATTTAATGATCAATGCATCTCTCTATGAGAAAGTGAAGTCAGGAAGGTCTCGATTGGTGAAGCAGAATAGACTCATCCTTGTCCTCTTCACCTTCACCGTCGATAAATTTGTGACATCACCCATACACAACGAGTTGGCTCATTCCTTCCTTTGTGTTGGTATGTCCCTATCGGTATAAATCATCCTAGCATCGCGCCGATGTCTTTGGTTGCGTCTATCATCATTGGTCTCATCTTCATCATTGATGACTCAATTTCCCTTTTCAAATTCTCGGTACTCCCCCTCAGGTTTCGATAGGTAAGTCTAATTATTCAATATCTGTAACACCCCGTCCCATAGGGCTCGAGGTAATTACTCATGAATATCATTCAAACATCTAGTCATGTCCTCGCAAACCATCACAAACCTTTATCACGCACTTTGTCCTCACTCGTGCGCCTCTTGAGAAACTTCTCAAGGGGTCACACACTCACACATCTCAAGATTACTTCCGTGTATGTACGCTTAATTTTGAGTTCTTGACTAATGATCTTCCTTAAAAGGAGATGCACCTTGTTAACATAAGTAGTAATATTAATGCTTTTAAATCAATCTCAAATTTACGATATCTCACTGCCAGTTTCTATTTGCCTCACATACTGTGGAGGTAACCTCATTGATTCAACTTCTCAATCTTGTTCTTTAGATCTCGGTGATCATTTGTATCGTGGTCATTGTTTCTATGAAAGTGGCAATCGGGATTGATACCTCATAGACGTTTGATTCACGAGCCATTAGCCCTTCTTTCTCGGTATAATCCAAGATGTGGTTCATTGGAGGAATTGATTGTGTAGTAAGACACTAATTACAAAAACAAACCGGGTCTTTTTTAAATGTGTGAACAAAATCTGGATGAATGTGTACACAAAATATCATTGCTATATGAAACCCCAAGAAAACTGCAGAATCAAAAGAGACGACCCGGGTGGTGGCATGAGCTTCAGACGTGCGCCCTTCTCCTCAATGGTTCCGCAGCATACCTTCTTCCAATCAAACCCGGGCCGACCCGTATCACGATTCTCACCATTCTCCCATCAGCGCAGGCACATTTCTTCCTCTTCTGTTGTCTCTTGCTCGCTGAAGCCTCAAACCCCGATGTCTCTGAGGCCAGCAACTTTCCGGGCCGAGCTGTCAGAGCTGAAAAGATGGCACCTTTGGGCCGAATCCCTAGCTTCCTCGGTCGGCTCTTCGTTCTTGGTCCAGGACAACGGCCCAGACTCCACACTCTTGCTCAGAGAGCTCAACTGGCTGATCGAAGACGCGGTTGAGACACCAGAAGCACTGTCATCCAATTCCCACGCTGATGGCACTGCGGTGTCACTAAGGGCATGTCTGGATGATCTTTATTCTCTCTGGAAGCAGAGGATAGAAGTGAGAAGGCCATTCCAGTACTTGGTTGGGTGTGAACACTGGAGAGACTTGGTATTGGGCGTTCAAGAAGGTGTGCTCATACCCAGACCAGAGACTGAGCTGATTGTGGATTTAGTGAGCGATGCGTTCGAGAAAGATGATCAATTGAGAAATGGGCTCTGGGCTGATTTGGGTACTGGAAGTGGTGCTCTTGCTATTGGGCTTGCTCGGGTTTTGAGCCCGTCTGCATTGGTTGTAGCCGTTGATTTGAGCCCAGTTGCTGTTGCTGTCGCCTCTGCCAATGTGCAGAGGTATAACTTGCAGGTTCTTCCTAATGTTTATTCAGATCAAACAAGCTAGAGACGTTTGTTTGTTTACACCCTTATATATGGACATGTTATTGACTATTGATGTGTGTTTGTGTTTCAGAGTAAAGTGAAAGTAAAACAGGGGTCTTGGTTTGAGCCACTTAAGGATGAAGGAAGAGGATTGGACGGGGTTGTAAGCAACCCACCATATATTGCAACCCAACAAGTTGCTGGTTTACAGTCTGAAGTTGCCAAACATGAACCAAAGCTTGCCTTGGATGGTGGATCAGATGGTTTAGATTGTCTCCTGCATCTTTGCAAGGGAGCTGCCTCAGTGTTGAAACCGGGCGGTTTCTTTGCATTTGAGGTGGAGGAACATATACATATATTCTATTATATCTATTATTATTATTACAAAGGTTCATTCTTGTTATCACTACTACTATTACATAGTGTGCTCACCCTTTTTGTTTATATGCAACAGACGAACGGGGAGGAACAGTGTAAATTTCTTGCTCGGTACATGGAAAGAGTAGGCAAAGGTGCCTTCTCAGATGTGAAGATTGTGCCTGATTTTAGGGGTATCCAGAGATTCATCACTGGTTTTCGTACTGGATGATGAAATGATTTCTTTTTCTTACAAGGCAAAGTTGTACATTGATAAAAATAAAAAAAACTATTTCATTTATGTGTAGCATCAGTGTAATTTTCACCATTTGGAAACAATTATTATTCTTATCATTGAATAATCCAAGAATAGTACAACGTTGGCACTGGTGGTGGGATGATAAGAGATTACTCTTTCCATTTTAACCCCCAAAATTCTGCAGCAAAAGAAATGCTGCCAGACAACTCTAAATTGTTTATGTACAAATAAACAAGAAAGAAAAAAGTAGTTATACTTCACATTCAGTCCTCTGTAATCTCCTTTTCTATGTGGGGGTTCTCGAGGAAGTATGAATATGTTCTTTCTTCCCGAGCTAGCGTGTAATGTTTTCAAGAGAAACGGCGCCATTGCTTCTTTCCTTTCATCTGATTCAGCTTGAAGGGGCTCCAAGTCTTCCTACGCTTGGGGGTCTCGGTGAAGATCCCAGAAGCTAAAGCTTGCTGCAGCCACAACTCAAACTCTTCATCTTCATCAGTCATCTCACTATCTACATCCCATGGATACCTACGGCTACCTGAATGGGATCTGTGACTTGATTCCTCCAACCCTACCATGTTCACATGGAAGCTTGGTCTGTGTGTATTCGGTCTGCAAGACATCCCCTGCAGTTTTTTAAAGAAAAAATAAACCATCAATTTAATATAATAAAGTACAAATTACCAATTTGTTTAAAATTAGATCACTACTCCTAAACGGCTGTATAGACCTGACATATTGCCCATTCTGACACATCAAATATCTTGTTCTCTGCACAAACAAATGCCCGGGGTATCTCCATCTGCAATGGCAATGAATTAGCAGGAATTCTTTGATGAGGTAATTTCTTTTTTGCCTGACTTATTCAAAATTTGCGAGCTCAAGCTATGGGGATTTTACCCCATGAAAAAAAAAACGTCAAAAAAAAAACAAAAATGATGTTTGTATCCACTCTTATACCCACTTTTGTACTCACCCATTTTTGTGAAGGTTCTTTTTTATTTGGGGAAAAGGTGCAAATAAGCTCATGTACTAACAAAAAACGGTCAAATAAGCCCTTATTAGGAGACTCTGTCTGACCATCACCATTTGGGGTGGTTCCCGATAGAATTTTTTGATGAAATTTTTTGAGCATCTTATTCATGAAGTCTAGTTTACGCATACCAATTTTCAGCTAAAACTTCAACCGGGAAGGCATTCAAATGAATTCTTGAAGATAACTGTGCTTTTAACTGTGCAGTTATCTTCAAGAATTCATTTGAATATCTTCCCGATTGAAGTTTTAACTGAAATTTGGTATGAGTAAACTAGACTTCATGAATACGATTTTGAGTAAACTAGCTCAAAAAATTTCATCAAAAAATTCCACCGGGAACCACCCCAAATGGTGACGTCCGAACAGAGCCTCCTAAATAAGGGCTTATTTGACCTTTTTTGGTTAGTACATGGGCCTATTTGCACCTTTTCCCTTTTATTTGTGAAGGAATTCACAGACAAAATAGACAAAATATGTCTGTGAACCGGATTCACAGACAAAAAAATAGCATTCACTAAGGTGGGTATAAGGGGTGGGTACAACAAGCATTGTTGCAAAAAGAATATACCTTCTGAGGCCGATCAAAGCCCAATGACCCTCTATATTCTACCCATCCATCTCCATCTTTGGCTTGATGATACTGACAGCAATCCTGCACCCACATAGTTTTGAAGGGCGTATGGGGTGACTTATTGGAAAAGAACAAGTGATTTAAAGACGAAGAAAAGTATGTTTTCTACAATAAAGAATGGTTTCTTCCTTTGCACATAATAAATCAGGCAAATAAAATGTGAGATGAGAGGAAACTGAACCTGGCACCACCTAGCTTTAGCCTTTGTCCTATTGGTGCAAACCCAAATGTGTGAATTGCAACATTTGGTGCACTTTATAAGCCTAGATTCTTTGGAACAGTAATCGGACGTGGTGTCCTGCACCATAATTATAAACAACCTTTAAATAAATAAACTTAAGCAAAACGGGCCTCCATGGAGTGGACAGTGGAAAAGTACCAACCTGATGAGAAGATCCTGCTGATCTATTATGTAAGACAGACTTGGACTCCTCTTTCCTGAGATGCTCATCATAGTCCCTCTTCTTTACAGCATCAGAAAGAACCTGAACGTAATTAATAACGAACACTCATGTAACAATCCAATTGCATGCAAAGTAAAAAAACAGTGGCAGTGTGAAAAATGAAAATAATAAAAAGGGGTTTTGAAATAGTTACCTCATAGGCTGACTGAAGTTTCTTGAATGACTCGCTTGACATTGGGCTTCCCATGTTTTTATCAGGGTGCACAATCATGGCCTAAGCATATGAATAGCACCCGGATAATAAAATCAGCACACCATTGCTACAAACATAGCGTGGAAAGTTTCTCTAGGAGTAAAAATGAACAAAGAAAATATTGTCTGACCAAGTACCATGAGGTTCCCCCTAACTGTTAAATATTACCCCCACCATTCCAAGAAAAATCCTTGTTTCACACTTTCACCAAGGCACAGCCTTTTAAAATTTAGTAAATTGCAAATATTGGAAACCATCATTTCAAGCTACACTATTACACTTCATTTCTTGGTTTGACAAAACATGACTTGTTTGGGTCACTTTTAATTGGTGCATAAACAAATCAATAAATATAATGAACTTGTGTTCAAAACTTGGGGGGAAGGATAAGCTTCCAAATAGAGCTTCTTTTTTATTTTTAGCGGCAGAGGAAGTAATAATGTATACAAGAATGAAAGCAGAATGGATGGCTGAGCATGCAATTTTGATGAAATCGCCTATCTCTTCCGAATTTGTGGTCTCACCAAAATTATACTATTACTTTTTCTAAAATGGGAGTGGGAATGGTAACAGAGATCCTTTATTTTTAACACATTAAAAGGAGGTAAATACCTTTTTGCGATACTCCTTTTTCAAAAGGAGACTATCAATTTTCTTGTGACGAGAAAATCCAATTGCTTCATAGTGATCAACACTATTTATAATCCGCTTCATCTCAGCCACTGAATTTAAGTCTTCCCTTGAAACTTCCTTGGCTAAAGGCTTCTGTTTATCCATAACAGTAGTAGTAATAACAGCAGGTTTGCTGGATGATTTGCAAGAATGCAGCTTTTCAGTTTCATCACTGGGAGGAGCAGAAGAAGATTCATATGCAGTACAAAACCCTTCCTCCTCTGCGAACGAAGAATCAGGCTCTACTTGCTGCTGCTGCTCCTCATAATGACTGCTTTCACGCAAGATGTCATACCGATGAAGCAGGTAGTTTAGGATTCCATTTGAGAGGAATGAAAGGTTAATTGAGATAAAAACTCCATGCCATCCGACTCGAGTTTTAACAGAATAAACAGAATATATAACTGCCATCAGCACCAGTAGTCTTGCATGGTTTAAAGAAAACAGATAACCTGTACAAAAGGATCTTTAGTGAAGAGAATGTGCAAAACTAACATAGCAATTTATAGCAACTTGGTGTATTAATATCAAAAGTGAGATAATGGAAGAAGAGAACCATACCTCCCACAAAAAAGAGTGCACCAGTTATCCAAAAGTTGGCATACATCCACAAAATTAAAATGGAAAACAGGCCAACAATAAAAAGTCCAGAAGTATATCCTAAATACTGAATAGCAGCCCCGGCAGCTCCCTGAAAAGCATACCCCCAAAAAGTTATTAACTTATCATACCAATATGTCAACTCATCTTAAAATCAACAGATTTTAACCAAGATCCTCATTTATATCCTTTTAGACAGAATCAGTTCATGCAGTATTATTATTACATTTGACACAAGAAACAGAAATAGATAGTGCATTGGTTCTGTATATGCAGATCTGACGGCTCTTTTTTGTTTTAAGAAAAATATAAAAAACAGTTAAAATAGCACAGGACAAAGAAATAACAGCATACCATACTAAGAAGCACATATAGCAAGCACGACAGTGAAGTTAAACTCATAAAGGAACTCCACATAATAACAATTAAAGCAGCAGACCCAAGCCCAACAAATGACCGAAATCCCTGATTAATGCAGTCCTTCCAGCAACTTAACAAAAACAAAAGATCCTTTCCCAGTTTCACGCAAAAGTAACAAACCATTGGCCAATGTTTTTTTATGAAGATGACAACTTTGTCCCTTAAGCAGCTCATTGTTTTCCTCATAAGAGAGTACCAATCCTTCTTAGATTGTAACCACATCCATGCTTGCTTGAACAAACCTATATCCTCCATCATAAATAAACTACTAAACTCAACTGGAATCACTTCAATTCTTCAAATTATGCAAAACAACAAATCAATATATCTACTTATAGGCCATCCATATCAATAGCTCTTGATCCCTGAAAACTCTATCTCCATTGTTGAGAGCTGATAGGACAAAGAAAACTCATACTACCACTCATATAGCCGATCCTCCAGAACCCCAAAATGCCCGTTATCTGACCAAGAATTACAGAAACAAAACTCGCATTTCAGTAACGGCAAATGGCAGAACCCTGCGAGAAGGAGATCCGGAAGATCCCATTTTCATGGGGTTAAAGTTGCAGCATTAATTGAGCCCAGCAGCGGACTACACAGAGACAAAGGTATATAACTTGCTTCACCAATACGTCACTCGAAAAGCAGTACAAAAATCACAAGTTCTCTGCTTTAGCCAAGACTACATCTTGAGCTGCCACAAGCCGCACAAGCCCAACCAACCCATAACCCTCAAATTTAAGATATAAGAATACGAATACGCACAAGTGTAAAGATGAAACAATTCTTCCCTATCTTGTGAACTTTTTGACCCGTGATCTTTTCCTTTTTCTTTGGCTGAGAAGAAACCCTAAGCTAGGCTTTTCCCCCAGGGGAGGCCAGTCGCAATGCGAGTGAACCGAGGTTAAAAGTTTCCTAAAGGGGAAAAAGGAATAATCTTGGGGAGGATGGTTATTGATGAGCTTCCAGAACACAAGTAATCCAAAGTTTTATAGTGATACATTACGGATTACGATTTTATGGAGTCAAAATGGAGTTAAATTGGTATTAGTATCATGACCAGTTGACCACCACTCATTTTAATACGAGAAGAGTGCAA